GATTTACAATTAGACAGTAGATTGTCAATTAAGAAAACGCAGATTCCATTTTCTCTTTACGTTTCATTCAATTATTTCATAAAATCTGCAGTCCATTTAAAATCTTTTAACTAACTTCGAATAATTCCACTAAATAAATGAACGAATTAATTAGGTGGAAAGTCGCGACGTTTTGGGGAATATTAAAGGGACGTTCGGTTTCGTGGACGCCGACGGTGAGATCAAACGCGTGTCATACTCTTCTTCGAACGGGACGGGCTTTAAAGCGACGACGCTGTCACCGTTGCGCGAGCACGTTCTGAGAATAAATAAAACTACAGAAAAACCGTCGACTGCAGCAACAGCCTTGTCCCCGTCGAGGGAGCACATATTACGCATAAACAGAACTAGTACAACGCCGATTGCCATAGTGAAAGCGGAAACGGTGCCGACGCTGTCAACCTTGTCTTCATTGAGAGATCACATCTTTAGAATAAGCAATCGCACGACGATTCCGATCGTGACAGAGAGAACGCCGATAATAATCGCTAGTAATACTAATAGGAAACCATTAGACTTAGTCACCAGACCGTCTAGCAGGTCTTCGGTGGTTCAGCCTATTCCCAGAAGCAATAGGAAAACGAATGCGAGCACCGATGCCGATGATACGGAAGACGGTAATACCAGCACGACTCCGATCTCGACGACGACCAGCACCGATCAGCCGAGAACGATATTCAATCATTATTTATTAAAAAACCGGCCTCGTTTCATGATCAACGGGCAACAGAGACCGTTGATGGTAATTGAGAGAGAGAATGTGGAAACAGAACCGAGCGTGGGAGACGAGGAAGAGGACTCCCAGATAAATCGACCAAACACGGACAGCAATAGTAATCGAACGAATCATAGAAATTACAAGAACTATAGGAGAATTATTTTTAACAAACGTCCCGACGTCAAATCGGAGGAAGGAGAAAAAGGAGAGAGCGTTAAACCGAAGGAAGACGTCAAACCGTCGGTACAAGAAAAAGACGAGGAAAGGGATGACGATGAAAAATTGAAAGTTAGGGGGAACAATTTGAGGAGACAATTGAACGAAGATACTGTTAATCCTAATAAGGAAACAATTAGCGTTAAAGAAACGATTAACACGGATGAGACGATTAATAGGAGGCAGGTGATTAAAAATCCAATTATAGAAAATGCTAACAGTGAGACAGACCACTCGGACGTTTACGGTGGTTCTCTGTTAACCGACAGGCCTTTGTTCACGATGATACCAAAGACGTCGACTGCGACGACGACGTCGACGACGCCGAGAGTCGTTCAGCGCGTTTCCTCAACCGTTAAGCCAAAAGCTTACTTGAACCGTGAGAGTCTAGGAAGCAATATAAAGTATGACGATTCCGAGGTGTACGAACCGGAAATTCGACAAAATGAGCCGAGCCCGAGAATGAGGAATCAACAAGTGTTGCCGGCCAGGTTGCCAGAAAATCCAGGATCGATTCAAAGACCTGTACTAGCCTCCAGGCTGCCCGAGGAGAGGGAATACATTCGAAATCGACCGATTTTTAATTCTGACAATCAAGAATACGCTCGGAACGAGCCGATTTTGGTACCGAGGATCCCAGAACAGAGAGACTACGTGACCAACGGGCCGATTCTGATTCCCAGAGTGCCGGAGAACCAGGAGTACGTTACCAATCGACCCATATTGATCCCGAGGATACCCGCGAACCCGGAATACGATCGGAGTCGAAGTAGAATACCCGAGGGTCAAGACCTGAGACCACTTTTGGAGGACCCACGATTCGTTCAAAACCGACCAATTCTGAGTCCCAGAGAGCAAGACTTCGTCACGAACGGTCCCGTTTTGATAAGAAATCGGCCAGTTCTCATTCCTCGGATACCCGACGACCGGTTCATCGATTTCCGTGAACAAAATTACGCTCGTCAGAATTTCTTCGGGCAAAGGCCGGAACAGTTCATCGACGACATACCTAGAAGAGTCGTCGCTTCTCAGGAACCTCAAGATTACAGATCCGCGAACGTGGAGAGAGTCCTGCTGAGGCCCCTGCCGGGTCAACAGGAAGCCAACATTCATTATTCCACGGAGAATCCTCAGGACTTATCCTCGACAGTGGATTCGAATTTGAGATCGAAAACAGTGAACGAGGAAACGACGACTGTTTATCCTTACAAGGGTCCCGTGATCCTGCGGCCAGCTATCGTACAAAATTCGAACAGGCTCAGATCCAAAACCACAGTAAAACCTGGGAATTACGAAACTACTACTGAACAAGCGTACAGAATAATTCCAGAATCTAGCCCGAGGCCCGAATCGATTTTGAACGACGATCGCAATGAGAATTACGATACGAACACTGAATATATTCATAGAAGTATGATCCCGCTTCCGCCCGAGTTGCCTAATCCTATCGCCCCTCCTTTGAGCAGGAGAGACTTCCAACTGCTACTCAGGAGATTATTAATCAGTCAATACGGAATTCAAGCGTTGATGTATCCAAGAAATTATTATATGGAGAACGTATTGAACGATCAGCAAGGCTACTCGACTTACCAAACCACGGAGTCGGTGAATTATAATAATCAGGAACTGCAGCCTTCTAACGTCGATGGTTACAGTCACCGGGGACTTCAGAGGGTCAGGGACGGTGCTAATTACGAGCAGCGAGGATACAGAAATTTCAAAGATAACTCCAGAGAACGCGTTAAGTACAACGAGGAAGAGGGATTAGAGGTTGCCACGGAGAAAATTAATTACGACTACGATTCTCGGGACAGTAAAGAGAATTCAAACTACAATTTCCGGAAGAACGTGAATTACGATCAACGAGAATCGCAGCAGGATTATCAAAATTATGGTGAAAATCGACAGAGTTCTAATTACAATGACAATCAAGAGTACAAAGTATCTGAAAATGATCATAAAAAGAAATTACAGAGCGTCAGAGTTAACGATTATGATTCGGAATCGGAGGTCAGTTACAGTAGTCAAAATCCCAGGATGAGGTCCAAGGATAATATGAATTATAATAAACTTTCGCTTAGGTACGGAGATAGGGTTGCCATAAGGCGTCCCGTGTACTCCGACAGTTCAAGTCCTCATTATCAAGACAATTATGACAATTACGAGGATATGTACTCGAAACGAGTCTACAGGCAAAAATTGTATCAGAAAGAAGCCGTTGACGATGACAATGAAATATTGCCTGGACCAATTAGGGAAGCTTTGCTGTTGCGGATGCTTCAGATGGTTATTAACAACGATAGAATGATGCCTATGACTTCTGCCAATAATTATGAAAATAGTTACGAGAATTATTATAAAAAAAGAGGACCGGTCAGGAGCGTGCAAATTCTCGGAGAGGAAGAAGAAGGGAGCAACGAGAACGAAAGGAAAGAAGAAAAGGAGATGAAGATGAAAGAGAAAATGCAATGAATTTCTCTAATTCTCTATAAGCAATTTTTTCTATATATAGAGAATTCGACGAATATTTGATGACTCGTGAAAAATCCAAGTTACATTCTGTAAATAATTAATTGTAACGTGACGTAACGTATGTAATAAATACAGATCGTAGATTTTTTCCTAGCCGTGAGAACTGATTTCCCAACTCTTCAGGAAACGACACTAATATTTACTGTACTCGGTGATTAGCATTGCCGTATATAGTTGCGACACTTTCACTGTCGCGTAGGTACCTACATGCGTAGTTAACAGTTCCTTAGACAGTTTCATAACGAATCGTGGGATTTTTCACGTGATTTTCACTCACTTTTCTCCTCCGCGCAACCTCTTCTTGGCAAACCTCTCAGACTGATCTAATCGGGCTTTCTTTTAATTTCAAATATCACTCTTACAAAATTCGTTTCGTATATTATGTCGTTGCCTCATCCTTTTTGTATCGTATTAAAATGATCGCGAATCGATCCGAAGAAAACTGAGGTAGAGAAAAAATAGAGTGTTACACAGCAAATGTTCTCGTTACGCGATGGTTCTCACCCTAGATACATATTTATTGCTCATTAACTATCATGCTCAATCGCAGTGGAATTTATATGTAGTTACTTGCGTATGTAGACCGCGATGACTCATCGATACCAGTTACACATTATTTCCGAAAATGAACTATTATTATTGTGTCGATACGAATCATAATAGAAATGTATTTTATTGTCAATGGACAACAATAAAATAAAAAATAAAATTTTTGTTTTGAATTCGAAAATTGAAGTTGTGGGCACTGAAATCCTCTACAAGAAAAATTCCATGAA